CCCCCAAAACCCCAAAACCCCAAAACCCCTACTTCTTGATTAAATATTGGTTAATAGAGGTATTATGAGAATATGGATATTCATTATGTCCCGAAATATGCAGTGCCTCTGCAGTTATTATCTACGTCTTCAGTTTGGTTCATAGGCTGACACATTTTCTCCAGCTTTAGGAGAAAGTCACTGTCGCAAGGGTCATCCTGTGCCGAGCTATTTGAGCTAAAGCAGTCAGTTTCCCCCTTGTTTCAGGCAGCGGTAGAAGGAAGTACAGATCTATTAGTAGCGATCTCAGGAAGGGAAAATTCCTGGATGTCCTTAGTGTTCCTGGTATAAAAATTCCGTATCTTTTCTCTTTCGCTTAGAAGGCCAGATCTGTGCTTTTTGTCCTCATTAATGTTAGTTCGATAATAAGGCAGGTCTTCATTACTAAAGTGCGGCTTGGGAGCTCTAATTCCTCTATAAAAACATGTTCAGCCATTATAATTTATAATGATATCTTGAATGAAGAATATTCTGGTCATAGGAATTTGGCAGGATTCTTCAAAACATGAAGAGGCCCTCCAAGATTTCTGTAATAGTAGCTTACTTATAAGATTTGACTTGACTAGAGAAGTTCAGTATGTTCTTCCTCCGGATAGTCTTCCTCAAACTTTTTGGTCTGAGGAAGAGGCCTATCTTGGATGCTTCTTTTGTAGAAGATCCATTTTTCATTCTCATTAATGATAATGAAGCGTTTGTTTTTGGTGGCTTAAACAGCCTATTAGGTTGCTGGTCCTGAACCACCTTCTCTCTTGTTATCGAAAGAGACTTGCTAAATTTAGATAATTAGATATGAAAATTTCATAAGTTTATCTCTGTCAAGAGTGGTAAGACAAATGCTCAAGCAGTAAATGTAAAATCCTCAATATTGGAAACTAAGTGAAGTCTGCTGGGAAAGCCATGCTTTCTAGAAACCTTGGAGAAACTAAATGTGGCTTGAATAAAATTTATTAAGAGGTTTAACATCACTTTTTGGGGAAGATATCATTGAGATTTTTACTGTCATCCATTCTTACATATCCATTCTATCCTTTTTGTTCATCCTCACTTGCCGTTGAATAATCTTTGAGTTTATAATGTTGACAGTTGGGTCAGATTCAAAATATTTCTGGGCTGATAGATGGTTCTTCCTACGTTTTTGAGCATTCTTAGCCTGTGTTTGTTGAAACCTAGGCTCGAAAAATTCCTCCTATTTAAAGGTAAAATGTGAAATTATACATCTTTGAGCAGTTTAGGACAAGTTAGGAGTAAAATAAAGTGTATCTGTGGTTCTAAAGATTTTTGATATTTCAATAAAGACACTAGACTCTTACCTCTTCAGAGATATCCATTCTGTTGACTCCTAATTTTTGAGCACTGGTTGGTGATGCAATCCGGATCAACTTAGAGTTAAGCTTCACAGGTCTAAGATTCTTCATAGGCAGGATTCTTTCTTCATCTTTCACAGCATGATTACACTTGGGGCTAGCTGGCTGAGTTCTTTCCGGTCTCCCATGGAAGAAATCTTTCGGAAAGTTCTTTGTCAAGCTATTGCTAAACCTAAGTTTAGGCATTCTTATTGTAGTCATCATTTTAATTTGCTGAAATTTATGTCTTATTTTTATTGCAGTTTTGGTAGTTTATAATGGGGTTTTGGGGTTTTGGGGTTTTGGGGTTTTGGGG